CTTAGGTTCTCGTGTATAATCTTTGACTCTGGTTCTCTGTTTATCATTTCTGGTGTCTTGTTTTTTTCTATGTCACTCTTACAACAATATCTCATTTACATTTCGGTCTTCTGGTTTTACTATAACACTCGGAGCCTGGAGTGTATCTCTTGAGTAATGGTATTCATGCGCTTGTGTTGGCGGGTGCAGCCTTGGACTCTCAATATACTAAATGTATGTCATGGGTTAATCATGCCCAAATACCATACTGACATGCCGCGAGTTGTGCCGAAAATAGTGACACGCTGCTTTGAATACTTGCTTCTCTGGTCGCCTCCTGCTATGACCGCTAACTGTTCCAGTTCTGATTGGGGTCTTACTGATGACGATCCAGATTCACGCCAACGTCCTAACGACAACGAACATCAATCTCTCCACCCAAACAATCCAATACATCCAAAGCCCCATCTACAAAAACCGCACATGAAACTAATCCCGTCCCCTGAGTAACACACACCAAGCAATCCAACCAACGTGTCACCAACCTACCACCTCCCAATCGCTCCAACCCGTCCCCAGCCCAATCCCGCCACCCAAACCATCCTACTCGCGTCATACGTAACATCCCCCCCTCGGTACCACGACACCTGTCAAATCCTAGCGTGAGCCGTTGAAAAGAAAGAAAAATAAGGCAGCTTCGATACATATGGTCTCCCTTGTATACGTCCGCGCTGCACGTATCCAGCTTTTCCACCCCCGAAGCTGCGGTTTCATCGGCGGAAAGGTACAGTTTGGGAGAGTGGAGGTGGAGAAGAGGGTGCATGTCCGTTTGGGGTGTCAATGGTAGGACAGCGTGTTGTATCGTGTCTTTTGTTTCTTCGTTTGATGTTGCCGGATTTGCTGCTAGTAGTACGTAGATGCTGCGCTTCCGACTTAGGCATACGCGCTCAATGTCTCTATGTGTGTGTGTATGTGTGTGTGTGTGACACAAATCAACGAAGGGAGGAATGAGAGAAGTATCAACCCGGGCCCTCCCTTTCCGTCCCGATTTTCCATTTTTAGTCAGCCTGACTACAGCGGGAATTTGTAAAGAAAATTACTGTTGTACTGCCATGTCATCGTCGGGAGCGATACCGCGACACCACTGACGACATGGTAAATCCAGCATCCTTAACTATATCTAACTCTCCCTATGCATAGTATCCTTGCCTCCAGATAACCAGCACCCTGCACCACTACAAACCATGTCCACCCCTTTCTTCCCTCCTATCCCTCCTCCCAGCATCCCCCCCTCCACCTCGACCTCCACCAGCTCCTCTCCAGAAAAGGCAAAAAACCCAGCAAGTCTCGACGCCCTCCTCACCGTCCTCGGCTCCATGCTGATCTTCTACGCCTCCTTCGGCCTCATGAGCAGCTTCGGCTTCTTCCAAGACTACTACTCGCGCTCCTTCCTCGCTTCAAGCCCTTCCTCAAGCATAGCTTTTGTAGGGACCCTGCAGATGGGGTTGACGAATGCCATGGGAGCGCTGTCGGGGGCGCTTTGTGATCGGTTTGGTGTAAAGGTGCGTTTTCGTTTATTACCCCCCCCCCTCCTTCCATTTCGCGTGTGCTCGTCGATTGTTCTTTGATGAAGAATGGAAGCTGAAATGGAAGGGCGATACAGTGGTTACTTCTAGGCTCCGGGTTCGGAATTACAGTGGCGTTATTGATGCTTTCGTTCGTCCAACCTGGACAATTCTGGCTTGTGTTTCTGATACAAGGGTTTTTGATGGGTTTGTCGATTTCGTTTGGAGTGCAGCCTGCACTTACGGTTGTAGGGCAGCATTTTAAAGAGCACAGGGGGTTGACGTTGGGGGTTGTGTCGATGGGGTCGGCGGTTGGGGGGATTGGGTTTCCGGTTATGCTGGGCCAGGTGATGCCTAGATGGGGGTTTGGCGGTGCGCTGAGGTTGGCGGCTGCGAAGGTTGTGTGGGTGCAAAGACTGGTTCTTGTGAGAAAGGGGTGGAAGGCTGACATGGTGTAGGGTTTGTTACTCGATTGCGCTGTGCTTGTGCACTAGCAAGCCTGTTCGCAGTTCGAGCTGCAAGGATCGCACTTTTCGTGTGGACTTTGGTGGGTTTTTGGATCCTCGGTATGCGGTTCTCTGCGTAGGGACGTGGTTTGCTATCCTCGGTCTTTGGCTTCCTGCCTATTATGTCAGTGAGTAGTTCTGCCCCAAAAAGACATGCCTTCATGTTTGTTAACAATGTCTCAGAAACTTACGCTGATAATATACACCCCGAGAACAATGTTAGTAAATATTTCCTTTGTATGATGAACGGCTGCAGCATGCTCGGTGGAACATTGTGAGTCCCACGCACTACCCCGTACCAGACATCCTTCCTAACATCGATACAGGGGCGGTCTCCTAGGTGACCGCATAGGCCGATTCAATCTCCTCTGGCCCGTCACATTCCTCTCAGGTTGCCTCTGCCTCTTCCTCTGGCTCCTAAGCACCAACCTCTCCACGCTAATCTTCTTCGTCTGCGCATACGGCTTCTTTTCCAGCAGTGTAAACACACTCCCGACCTCGATCATCGGACAGATTACTCCAGACGACAAGTTTGGCGCGAGGACCGGAGCGTTCTACAGCGTCATCACCATCTCGAGTCTTACTGGGACGCCGATCGGCGGCGCACTTATTGTAGACGAGCATGTTAGAGAGGGGTATCGGTGGTTGATTTTGTTCTCGGTAAATATATTATTATTCTGAATTAGGCGCATAATTGATGCAAGTAGCTAATATACAAATAGGGAACTGCACTCATTGTCGGATCCATATTTATGCTCGGCAGCCGTATGCTGCATGGCAAGGACTCGCGCAGGAGACGAGAACTGGAGATATCCTAGTGCTCAACACCTAAAACCTCAGACCGTGTCTGGATACAAGACCTTCCTGCACCTGACCTTGCACCGGCATTTCGGTGGCCAAAAGGCATCTTGTATGATAGACCACTCAAGCTCTTCTGCCTCCTCTTCTTGTACACCAGGAATGATACTTTGTTCAAGCTCAACACCGCCCCCATCCTCCCTGTACAGCTCCTCGAGTTCCTCTACCGTGAATCTCATCTTCTTCCTCTCCTCATCCCTCAGCTTACAAAAGCTCTCCTTCTCCACCTCATCCATAAACCCATACACAGTGACGTTCTCATATGTAGCCAACGCCTCCGCAGCTTTTTCATAAACAATACGATGTAGTATCCTCGGGCAATTGAATGGGTCCCCATAAAACAGCCGAGGACCCTGCTGGCGCGGTCCATCAGCCAGATATCCCCTCGCATTTGGCAACTGGATGCGAATCTCGTTCAGACAAGGTAGTAGGCCAAAGATCCCGTAATCGAGGCGAAACTGCTGGAAATACTGTGCAAACGAGCCTATCGTGACCTTGAAGAAGTGCATCGAGTCAAGGAAAGAGAGCTGCAGGTTGATCTTGCGGATCGCGTGGCGCAAAGTCGCGTATCGGGATAGATGAGGGTAGATGCGAGGATAGTGGTTGTACGTCTCTGCTAGCTGCCATGTCTTGTCGGTCGACGGAAGATGCCCCGGCTCCAGCATCTGGAAGCATTTCCCCAAGCGCCGCATACAGTCTTTGAAGGCGCGGTGACCTTTGACGTCTATGCATAGTCCTTTGCCATACTGCAAGTCACTGCTGCCTACGAAGCACAAGCGCAAGCATATCGCGCGGACTTGGTGGGACACACCGAGCAAGGGCGTCCACGCTCCAAACTGAGCAGTGACTTCTGGCGCGCCTTTGATAGGTCTTCTGGACAGAGCACGTGGATGAGATTGGTGCATACAGAAGCAAATGATGCGTTCTTTGAGCTCGGTGGGTAGACCAGACCAGTTGAAGGTTTCGCCGTTCGTCTTCCACCACTGGAACATGACTTGGTCGCCGACTGGTATTTCGCTGAAGGTAGGGAACGTCTTCTCCAAGAAACTTTCCAGAGGGATATACCTCCCTATTTTCTTCATATATACCTCAACTTCGTCGGTAACACGCCGGGTACCTTTCCGATACCAGCTCTTAAGACGACAAGCGGTGAATACGGGTCTGTCACCGAAGTTGTAGAAGCCGACCCACAAAGCAAAGTTCGCGAGCTTTTCTGAGCGTTCCAAATGCTGTGACTGAGACTGGGCCACTTCAATTGGGATACTGAAGCGGGTGGCTGACGTTATTCTGTACTTGTGTACGGCTGTACGAACATCCTGGAGGAATGGGTGGCTTTCCCGTGGACTAACCTGCCAGTCATTGGGCGTGAAGCTTATGTTGACGTTGACCCTCATGTTTGTATGACGGGTAAGCGGTCTTGGTCGTCGGGGATGGTTTGATCTGCTCATAATGAGATACCTGTGAACTCGGATCTCTTGGGTGTGGCTTGAACGCTGGTTGAGGCCTATGATCGTAATCAGCATTGCAGAGGCAGGCTCAAAGTGAGAGAATAGCTATTTGTGACAGTAGTCTTGGGAATGTGCGTGAAGCAACAACTATGAGTCTTAAACAAGTTTAGTGTCACAGAAATCTCTGGGCGGTGAATATGAATGAGCTGACACATGTGAAGCAACGAACGGAGCGAGCACTATGCAGCAAGCCTCTTACCTACTCACACCTGCCTAAAAAGTTTCTGCCTTGTGCTCTCACCAGTCTTGTCTTACTTATTATTCCATTGTGTAAAATGCACAACCCTGACTCTAAGGCCCAATTAATATCATCGTTACACATACAGCCAAAGTAGACGCACAGACCATAAAATCATCAATCGTCCCATTTCATCATCCTGTCTTCTATCAGCAATTGTAAGACATCATTAATAGCAACATTCGCCATGGAGCCCCCAGGTCCAGATAATTGCTCGTCCATGGACATATTCAAGTCCCTCGTCCAATCTGGGTATCAATGTCTCATCTCTTCCAAGCCTACATCCTTGCCTTCCTCTTGCCCGTCCTTTGTCTTTGATTTTTTCTAGCGAAAGCCATGCATCACCTCACCACACATCATCAGCCTCAACCTCCCACTTTTCACCATCAGCCCTCACACACTCCCGATTCTTATCCCGACTGCAACTCTTCCTCATATCCAGAGCATCCTCGCCATCATTGTAGTACGCCTTGACCACACGATAAACACTATAGCCCATCTTACGGTATAGTTCTTTTGCAATTTCATTCGACGCGCGCACGAACAAATCGACAAACCATGCATCTGCAGCGTCAGAGGATCGCTCGAGCGCAGATGAGAGGGCAGTTGCGTGGCCAAGGCGTCGGGCGCTAGGGGCGACAGTCAGGGCAGTGATGTGGCCGTGCCATGGGAGATAGTTGGGGTATTCGACGCCCGTGGTCGAGGGCTTGTAGGGGCTTATTGGGGGTGCGAAAGGCGATGATTCGAGTTTACCTAAGACTGTTTGATATTCTAGTCAGTCCATGTCCGTATGCATGTCAGAATCCGTAAAACGTACTATATCCCTCAATTTGACCATCCATGCCTTCGATAATCTGACACAACTCGGGCCATCTGGTCAGGTACTCGAGGTAAAAACCAATGTTGTATGTTTCAGTCAGGTGATCAAGATTCGTTGAGGATATGCGCAGCAAGTCGTCTGGCCGCATTGGCCGTATGGTCGACATTGTGCTGTACTAGATGAATGTGGTGAGTAGGTGGAGAAGTGAGAGATGGGATGTATTGTTTGGAGGGACAAACGGCACTTCCGCGGGGAAGCCTCGCTTAAACTACATGCATGCACGCATCCCTCCCTTGGATGCTTCGCGCAGGAGCACCTCAAAGCATATCGAACAAAACACTCTTGGACCTAGACAAGCAAGATAATTCATCAACTGAACGCTCAAATTATTCTACAAAGGAAAAAAGGGTATCCAGCAGAACAACAACAACAACAACACTCTCGTAAATGGCTTCCAAAACATTCAATGCCTCCTATGCGCGCTCAATCCAAATTCAAGTATCCCTCCGTTTCCTATGCGTATTCCAAGTTCAATTTCATCAGTTCTGTCTCGCGCTGCTGTTGTTTCCAGCGTTTATTAGAATGTGCGATTCGTGTTGCTTTGTTTTCCTCTCAAGAAATGATGGAGTCAACCCTATTAGATGCGGAACGAGTCAACACTGGCTGCACCATTGGTGTAGTCCTTGACCGATGATGCTCCTGAGCGCATCGCACGCTGCTCATAACTCAGTGGGCTTTGCGCCCTGTGAGGGCTCGTTGGTCCACGCAAGTTATCCATAGCGGAAACACGAGCTACACCGTTACCACGACCATTGCCAAAAGGCGAACCTCCACGGGAGGGGTAGATGTTGTCTTCGGAATAATCGCTGAGTCGTGTATTGGCGCGTGGTTGTGTGGAGGCAGCAAGGGAATTGTTACGGATGTCCGAAGGAATTGGCGGTGCCTGACGGAAACGACGATTTGAATACGCCTGGTCCTTCTCATCGACCAGCACTACCATCCACACGCCTACAGATCCATTCTGACCGAGGAGAGGAGTGCAGTGAATCCAGCGAGGTCGGCCCTCATCCGTTGCGTCTTCCAGATCCTCGACTGGGTGCGGTAACCAGCGAATCTTTGCAGTGACGCCGCGCGAACCATCTGCGAGCGCACCACCGAGCGAAGCACGAACACGGTTACTACCACCAATTCGGTCAAGGAAACGAGATTGAAGTATCCCAGGGACGCGAAGTGAAGGAGATGTGAAAAGAATGCGTAGAGATGGCGCAGGACGGACGATAAGATACTGGTTCGTCTGTTAGACTTTTCAAAATCACTTGCAAAAGACCATGTTAAACTTACATGTTTGTACGGACCAGTAAGGCGTCCGTCAGGTGAAGGGGCTGACTTATCTGGCCCATCAAGATCAAAAGTCGATCGATCCTGAATGAGCACTCTAGGCTTGTGCTGCATAGTGGCGTCATCCTTTTCCTCCAAATGCTCTCTGTGCATGTTGCCACCAAATCTGCGTGCCGTGTCCAACTCAGTGTTGTTGAACATCTCACACAATGCCTGGAACTCGTCTTTGGGCTCGTCTTTTTCGATCACACCTTCTTCCTGGTCAACCATACGGCGGAACGCATCGAGTTCGGTACCGTCTTTCACAAGACCAGTCACGTCGATTTGCGCGCCGATAAAATAACGAACGGTTCCGCGTGAATCACACAAAGGTGCTGTCATCAAAAGGTTCATAAACGGAGACCCGTCACGACGGCTGATTACTTTTAGTCAAAAGCCAGTTAGACTCAAACGACAGGTGCTACTTACTAGTTCAGAAAGACTTCACTATGATCTTTGCCTTCACGAATGGAGGCTCCGAAACGGGCGACGCTGTTACGGTTGGTTTTGGGGCCTTGGAGGAACCGACAGTTGCGGCCAATAGCGTAGTTTACGCCATACTGGGTTGTGCGATGGAATTCTAATCTCCAGTTAGTGGCGCCCATGTTACATGCCAGATACACGGACCTTCAGACGCAAATATGATTGGGTTGTCAGCCCTCGAAGGGTCTGTCAAACAGAAAACCTCTGCCAAACCCTCACTAGCTTCACGCAGCATTGGAGGGAGGTTGCCAGTAACTCTCTTCGCAATACTAGAGCTTGCAACTTGAGCAAATACATGCGTGATGAATGCTGGCAAATCGTCACGAACTAAAATATCAAAAGCCTGCTTGGCCTTCTCCTCGAGACTTGCGTTGACTGTTGTTCGCGCCCCAGTCTCGGTAAAACCCAAGCCATTGATGGGTTCTAGCGCTTCAGCGACAGCATTTGCATAGTTGATAGCTCGTAGCGCTTTTAGTGCATCTAGGTAGTACACCAATGTAGGGACTGACTTGGGTCGATAGGCGCTAAGGAATGTCGTAAATCGAAGCAAGGATGAAGTGTCGGCGAAGATGGCCTCCAAATGCTCTTTCGAGAACAGCTGGTCGGATCTGGTCTCGAGTGAGAAGATGGGGCGTCCACTTTCCACTGGTGCTGAAATCAGATCGAAGGAATGCGGGTCATCTTCCATCAAGGGAGAAAGTCTGTCGCCCTCATCCAGCGTCCCACCCTTTTGCTGCAACGGCCCAAGCTGCTGCGTTGTAAAGGAAGGTGCCGCAGACTCATACGAGATTACCGAATCGACTGAACTTCGCATCTTTGGTGGCTCAGAATCCATTGCTTGGGGTGTTTGAAAGTATCCAGACAATCGATTAGTGCCAGGCGTTTGAGGGTTGCCTGGTGTTTGGGGATTCCCGGGTGTTTGAGGATTTCTAGGTGTTTGAGGGTTCTTCGGCGTCTGTGAACGCTTTGGAGTAGCCGCTGGCGTACGTGAATAACTATGAGCACGCGACCGGTTCCTTTCTGGAGTCGCAGGCCAGATGGGTGAAGTTGGCTCTTGACTTAGTCGCCTTTGCAGCTCAACGCGATGTTGTTGGGCTTGGGGAGTGCTCGAACTATTCAATCATAAGCAAGAAGGAAAAGGAAGTATGAGATACAAGGAGGGAGCGTACCTAGTTCGAAAGGGAATATGAATCTCGCGTCTTGCAAACTCTACTTGTGGTGCCGGAGCAAAGTCATCATCCTCCGAGTGCCAACTTCCTCGATGCCCGGGATCGTCAAAGCTAATAACGGGTGAAAGAGGGGCACTCGTTCTATTAGGCTCAGCGCCATCTTGCATGGTTGCAAAGTCTAGGACCAGCGGTTCATTAAAGGCACCGCCACTACCGTCGGCTTTGGTCAGCGCGTCCGCGTCGGGGGCCATGACGCTATCGACATAAGCTGGGGCCAGCTCGCTAGGACTCCCTTTTCGGGCAGAAGTGGGTGTTGAGGCTGAGGTCCTGGAAGCGTCAGAGGATCTCTTTTGGGAGAACATTCCGTGCGCAGATCGGATCTTGTTCTTGAACATGGGCATCGCGATAGCGAAGGGGTTGCAGCGGCCCAGTAGCTTTGAAAATGGAAAAGTGCCAACTTTTGAGACCTGCAGATCGAGAGCTGGGCGTGCAGTGCAGAAAGAGGTGCACACCCATGACGAGAGTAGGGTCTATGTAATGTAAACATACCAGGTAGACTGACACGTCGGGTGGGCCCTTGGGTTTGAGACAACGGGGCAACTAGTCTCGTGCTGGCAGGGACTGGACCCGCCGACGTACCCTTCGAATGCAGCAAAGATTGGTCAAGATTGGTAGACTATCGTTCAAAGTGATGGATGCCGCGTGGCCAAGTAGCGTGGGCTAATGCAAGGCACCCTCCTCGCGGTGTAGTCCCGGCAAATCGACCTTTTGCTGGGGAAAGGCAAAGAATTCATTGTCGTCGAGGAGGTCAAATACTGCCGAGCAATAAGGCAGGGGTTGCGAGAAGCTAGGCTTTCTACCAATCAGCGGCATGGGGAGCCGAAGTTTCTAGCGAGACGGTGAGTTGTTCTCCAGACCGTTCATTGTATTGCAAACACGTTGGCAGGTCCGGGCCGTTGGAACAGCTGGTCAAATAGAGATGAACTTTTACATCAAACTCAAGCTGCATGTCGCGCGCGGCTAGCAGCGCACTTCGTTTTCCCTGTCGATCACTTGCAAATCCCGCTCGTGGGCTGCCGCCCTCAACAAGATACAGTAGACGCGTCCGGATCGCGATCATCTTGAACTTGGATGACATCTGCGATTGTGCGTGACCCTGATGCGGTGTGTACATATGTCGTAGCCCTAGACCTCTGTAAGCATCGTAAAAGGCGGCCGGCATTCCGGTCTAGCTGGGAGCGGTGGAGATGTGCAAGTTCAAATATTAACTGCGCTGGCCGAATTACTTCTCTCGGTCAACGACCGGGGGATGTGCGTGTGGACCTTTTGCGGTGCCATTCCGTGCCAACTGTCAATGTCGCCGGTGTATGCTTCCGCGCTAGGGGAACAGGTAGAGGCTCCAGGTTGGCTAAAACTTTTACTCCACCCCAAGAAACACTTGGAGAACCCGTCTGTCTAGCGCTTCGCTGACGCCGTAGCAATTGATAGTTCATGAGGTCGCATTCGCATCCTGAAGTCTGTCGTCCATTGGCAACACTGTAAAACTGGTTTGTCTGACTCGGCAACACTCGATCCGGATGCATGTGCATTACTCGGGACTCTAACAGGCTCGAAGATCCCCCCTTGCAGAAGTAAGTACAGGGCATGACTGGTATCATGGGGGCCAGGGGCACGGACGACCCAGGGTGCACTGGTGTTGCGCAGCGCAGCAGCGGCCAAATGGTACGTTTGGTTCAGCTGCACTACTGCAACCGAGTCAACGCCGTTGGTATACATGACGTAGAGACATCTGGATAGGGCTGTGGGGCGTGGATAGCTGTGAGAAGGGCTTGCGATGCCGAGATGCAGGGCACTATTTTCCGATGCTGATGGAGTGCTTTCTTTTTCTGCGTTGCTGCCCGAGTCAAGGAAGGTGGCAGTGGTTTGCTTTGCTGCGCTGCCATGATAGTGTGCGGTCCACGATCTGCGGTTGCCTTACGTAGCACATGGATGGCTTCCTTCTTACTGCACGCCCGGCGTCCAACTCAGCCGGCCACCACGGCCTAGCACCAACCATCACCACGCCTCTGGTTGGGAAAAGTCAAATCATAAAGAGCAACTTTGCTGACGGAACAGATTATCCCCTCGCCACCTCCGCCGCCACCGCCATGTAGCATAACTAGTCAAGGCCAGGCCAGACCTTGTATCTATTCTGAAGATATCAATCACGGTTAGACAATCTCGGAACACAACCCAGCCAATCAGACCACCACAGGGCCTAGATGCCCCCGAAGACCACCATCATCATACGAATGCGCTCGACGGCTGAACACCTCACGTCATTGACGCTACCATCCCGCACCCACAGCGGTCGTAACCGACAAAGTTCAGTTCCAAGCTCAAGTCATGGAGTGGGATTCGGCCACTGCGGTTCCAGCTGAGTGTCTGGACCCTTCCCCTTTTAGGCACATGCAAGAGAACATGTCGATAAACCAGGGGACCCACCTGATCGTGGAGTCGATGGCCAACACTTTTCTCTTCATCGTCGCTCTCTTGTCATGAGGACATGCCTGCACAAGAAGCAGTGATCTTCAGGTTTGTCCAACAGACCCGAAATGAAACCGGCCTGAGATTATCAAAATACGCCCATCCGGTATAACGCTTCAGCGAAGAAATTTCGACAGTTCCACCGGAGTGATTTTTAATAGAAAAAGAAAGCAAAAGGTATCGTACGTACATGCATAGATGAAACTTAGTCAGGGCAATACGAACGCGGTTGGCATTGCAGCCATACATGCCGGCCTTTCTCGGCACCTGAGACGCATTTCTCCCGTTTGAACGAGCAAAAGCACGGAAGGTACTTGTCACAATTGCGGCAGCTTCCCCGAAGCCCATTCACATCAAACTAGTCAGCCTACATCTGCTGAATAACAAGCATCACACCCCACATGAAGTCGCGTGCGCCACCCCGGCTCAAAATTCCGAGTAATCATTACAATTGCGGAGCAACCTCACCAGCTCTGGACAAACACCCGCTCACCCATGTGTCGATTGTCAAAGTGTAAAACCCCCCCTGCAGTATCACAATGCGCAACCTGCAGCACGACATTCTTGCCCAAGTCGCAGTCAGGCCAACCGTGTGCTCTTTTCCTCTTTTGACCGCCTCATGCACAGGTGGCTACCGCGAGCAAGTATCCGTCTTTGCAGGCAGAAGCGACGATAAATGTCAGTACGCATGAACATACACATCTTATGCGTCCACCCGCCTGTGGCACCATTGGAAACTCTAAATCCTTTGCAGAATGAAGCTCGCTTGTCAGATTGTCCCACAGTCCAGACAATGTACTGAGTGGAGTTGAGAAGTAAAGGCACGAACACACAACTCACCGTGGAACCAAAGTGGGCTGTGATGAGCAGTCTGTGCGGATAACAAGACGCCAGAGCAAGATTGATGGGAAAAAGGAATATCAGAGCGTCGAGCATTATGTGAACTGCCCGTTCTAGCTCTGGAGGTTTGAAAGACGTTGTTTGACGCGGAGCAATTGAGCATATTGCAGATCACCAGTGTCGCCTGTCACCGTTCAATACCACGTGGGTCGTGTTAGTTGGAAGATCTCCAAGTTGTGACGCTGCGAGAGCAAGTAGAATTGCCCACATGACACAGGAAAGGGCAGATGCAGGTTGAAACTGACAAACTACACTAATATGGAAAAAACTTTGGCATTGGCAAACTGTCGACAAGAACAAACTTTTGGCTACAACTGTATCCCTGAGCGTAGTGAATCGAAGTAAGCACTAGAGAAAACAAGTGGTTAGACAGCACTAGAGAACCGGGACAGTTTGGAGGATGCCAAGAGGAAAACTGCAAGATTCTCTAACCGACATACACAGTATATGTAGGTCGCTCTGATTGTTTAGTTGTAGGTGGTTGCCTATTATCGTGTGCCTCCTTCACGCTCCTCGGCCAAATTAGGCCGGGCGTAGGATAAAGTTAAGGAGAGACTGGGCCGGCCATATCTTCCTTCGTCCGTCACAAACACGACTCAAGTATCAAGAATCGTCTGCATCCTCACCATGATCATCGAGAATACAAAACAGGACGCTCGTCAGAGACGCTGATGTGGCCCAAGCGTAGATGATTTGGATAAGACCGGTAGACACTGGAGGGTATTCATAACTCGACAACAACAAACGCACTCCAAAAGACATCAGAAATGCAACAACACGGCAAGGACTGGAACTGGGATTGAAGGATGATGTCTATTGGCGTGAGGGGTCACTCAAAGCCATGTTGGCACACCACTATATCTGCATCGTGATATCGTCGCTTTCCATGCGTATGAAAGTGCAGAAGAGAGAATAATCGAAAAGTCCGAGAAACCACGCCGTTGACAATCCGTGTCCCATGTTGCCAGCCCACAAATCCGAACCACCTCTGCAACGTTTAGATGTAGGTCTCGTAAGGTACGGGTGTGATGTTCTCTGGCTTGTTGTCCTTGAGGCTGACGACGCGCTCGCCGCGGGGCATGGCGGGCTGGCGCTTCATCTGCTGGGGCTCGCCAGTCTCCTTGGCCTTCTGTTGCTTGGCGAAGTTGAGCTTGACGCGCTTAAGGAAGTCCTCTCGTGAGCGCGAGTGGCGGACGTGCTCGATGCGGACGTTGATGCGCTTCTCCATGTATCGGTTGCCGACCTGCTTCTGGAGGATGACACCGACCGCTGACTTGGTGACGTTGTAGACGATACCAGTCTTGCCGTGATAGACCTTGTAGGGCATACCCTTCTGGACCGCACCTGCGCAAATTCATAAGTCCTCCGCCTCCAATTGCTCTCGCTGGGTTTCAGGGGGGCTTCGTACCGTTGGCTACGACATCGACGATATCACCGACCTTGTACTGCTTGAGGTAGGTCGAGAGAGGGATCATACCCTTCTTCTTGAAGTCCCTCGAGAATCTAGCCCAGCGTCAGTCCATCTTGCCGTTGTCGTCGTCGCCATCGCCCTGCGACTTGAGATGTTTTTTCGGGATAAAACGTACGCATAGCGCGTACCCGCGCGAAGACCGGCTGCGTGACCCATTGTGTTTGTGTTGGGGGTGGTTGTGTGTGCGGCAAGCTGAGGTTCGAAAGTTCAACGATTGTATTTTTGCAAGCCTGTGTGGGAAGCGGTTGCCGCAAATGCCAAGCGTCCGTGCGCATCGCTAGCCTGGCCTGTCGACCATCAACACCAATGTTGGACATGTATGTGGAAGAACTGAAGAACATATATTGATTGAGAATTCTTTCTCTACCTAGAGCAGAGTCGACAAAGAATTCATATCAGGTTGAATAGCTATCAGAGTCTAGGTCAGATTTGACTGACCAACTCACATTGTCCATAGCCAACGTGACGGGGCTCATTAGCTATTGTGCACCGTTGGAAATCATGGAGAAACTGAATGATAAGACATGCGTTTGATTCATCGCCATCAATCAGAACATGTCATAGTCATGTCAAAATAGATATATACAAACGTACATTGGTGAAGGCGGCGCCTTGACTGCTAACTCCGAAGCGAACGGGAAACGTCCGTGCGCCCACTGCCCACCTTGGCGTACTTCGAAATTCACGTTCCCTCGCAACGCAACCCACGACTTCTCTCCTCCATCGACAACCACAATGGCGCCCCGCTCCTACTCCAAGACGTACAGCGTCCCCCGTCGTCCTTTCGAGTCCGCTCGTCTGTATGTGATTCCCCATGGTCACTGAGCGAGAGCGTGCTCCGCTTATGTCTGGGACACTGGTTAATTCTTGGTTAGGGATACTGAGCTGAAGCTCGTCGGCGAGTATGGTCTTCGCAACAAGCGCGAGGTCTGGCGAGTCCAGTTGACTCTGTCCAAGATCCGTCGTGCCGCTCGGTGAGTTACTCCTCAATTGCACGCTCGCTGCGCAAATGCGAAATTTCGAGAAGCGACAGTCGCTAACATTTTGACAGTTCGCTTCTTACTCTCGACGAGAAGGACCCCAAGCGCCTCTTCGAGGGTAACGCCCTCATTCGCCGTCTCGTCCGTGTCGGTGTCCTCGACGAGTCCCGCATGAAGCTCGATTACGTCTTGGCCCTCAAGATTGAGGACTTCTTGGAGCGCCGTCTCCAGACCTGCGTCTACAAGCTCGGTCTCGCCAAGTCTATCCATCACGCTCGTGTTCTCATCCGCCAGCGCCACATCCGGTAGGTCTTTGTGGAAGGTCTTTGAAAAAAAGGCACGCGACTAACAAGGTTACAGTGTCGGAAAGCAGATCGTCAACGTCCCCTCCTTCATGGTCCGCCTCGACTCCCAGAAGCACATTGACTTTGCTCTGACCTCGCCATTCGGTGGCGGCCGCCCCGGCCGTGTCAGGAGGAAGAAGGCCAAGGCCGCCGAGAAGGGTGACGGCGACGATGCCGGCGAGGAGGACGAGGAGTAAACATTACGCCAAAAAGAATGATTCATGGATGATCGGCGTTGGGCATGACGGGATGAATCTCTCTGACAGGTTTCCCTGTCCTGGAATGCACTATATCCCTTGTGGGTCACGGCTGGTAGAGGATCTACATACAAATTCTGTAGTCTCTGCCCAAAAATCTTCAATTGCCATTGTCTGTGTCTGTTCATTTGTGCCAGCTGTGATGGGTATGCTGTTTGGTTGAGATGTGATTAGGGTCTGCTTCGACATTGTATTTCAGGTAGTGCAGCAGGTTTGTTATGAGCAGTGTTCGTACTTGAAGGTTATCTGTTTCAGACATGCATGATTTCCATGTCTCGAGTGATATATCGCAATAGCTAAGCATAGTTTGGACACAAAAGCATATGCATTGTATCCTGATTCCACTTATATACTATCAACGACCCTCCGACTTCTAATACGACGAATCATCAGTATACAGCCTCGTAACTGGACTCGGTCTCCTATTCTCGCTCGCCGCCAGTCCCGCAGCCACCTTCTCCTGGCCGACCTTTGCCCTCGCTTCCTGCATAATCCAAAGCCCACTGCTAGTACCCAGCCTGGTAGCGCCAGCCTCGAGCATCTTGACAGCGGTATCGAGTTCCCTCACACCACCACTGGCCTTGACCTCCATCTTCCGCCTGCTCACGCCCTTCGCGGCAAGATACTCTGCTGCGCCTACCATGAGCTGGACGTGAGGCAGTGTGGCGCCTGGTCCGTTGAAGCCTGTTGATGTCTTGATGAAGTCGAATGAAGCGGCGGCTGCAAGGTGCGAGGCCGCGAGGATTTGGGTAGTTGACAGCTGTGAGGTTTCGAGGATGAGTTTGAGCGTTGTCTTCGGGCAGAGCGAACGAATGGTAGCTAGTTCCCTGTATATAGCGCTGTAGTCTGGAATCTCATCTTGGCCTGTAGCGGTAGAGTTGTTGCGGCTGGCGCCGGCGTTCTTGGCCGTGTTGGCAGCTGTGATGCTGTCAATGGCGGAATCTCTAGAGGTGCGAGTCAAAGTCTCAGGGCGGTTGTGCTTTGTGAGTAGCGAGTGGTTGAGCACGACGTCGAGTTCTGCTGCGCCGGCTGCAACAGCTGCACGTGCTTCACGGCATTTGGAGTATGTGTCTTGGGTACCCTCGTGGAAGCCGACAACGCAGGCGACAAGGACGTCTGTGCCTTTAAGGTTCTTTACACAGCGCTGCACCCAGTTTAGACGGACGCATACAGACTGTTAATCACATGTTAGTTAAATCGCCTTAGAATACGTTGTTGCATAGCGCGATCGCCGGATGCTATGCAAGAGACAAACGTACCTTGAACTCCTCGGTCCTTGCCTCACTACACAGTCCATCTATAGCCGAACTCGTAGCATCCAGCTTCAACACGGTGTGGTCGATGGTTTTAGCCAGTTGCTTCAACGCCTCTTCTCCGTTCCGCATCCGTGGTCCTTCGTAAACCTTGTTTGCGCGCTCCCCACTCTCCACCTCCTTCAGCACGTGCCGGATTGTCTCATCAATCTGCGCCTGCCACTCCGGATTCGTATATCGATCCGTCATGATCTCAATCGGCGATTGCTTGTCGTTGTCGAGATCCGGGTTAGCGGCCAGGAATCCACGGATCAGCACTTCGGATTCTGTGAGGGGAATCGGGTGGGGATCTATCGCAGTTGCGGCTGCGGCTCCCGCTGCTTCTGAAGGTTGTGTGGCAGCAGACATGGTTGGTATCCCAGGGGTAGGCCTGTTTATTGGTTTTCCTACTTTCCAGATGATGATTTGATATGATTTGATTTTTTAGCTTAGCCCAGGTCGAGATACGGAGTAGCCGGTGGTGCGGGCGATGCGTATTGGGTGACGATGACGTGGGGTGGCTTTTGTCCGCGACTCGTGGATGCGATCAAGGGGTTCGTTCACGCTAATCTGAGCACGCGAAAACGTCTCGAGTGCGAATCGTGGTCAACGACTGTTATAAGTATTTTACAGTGGAAGCGGAGGTCGGCGTTCTGCCTGTCATGTGTCTGGGTTGGAATGGGGTCGCGACTAGGTTTCCCCACTTAAAAGTCGAATTGTGCGGCCCAGGACGAGGTCCTTCTGTTCTAGGTATAGGTATAAGGTGGCGGCGCACCACCATGAACACGAAAATACCCATGAGATTAATCGACAGGATGAGGTTTGGTATAACACTTGTCTATGCTGTTCTTTTGGCTCCGGCCTTTCTGAGCGAAGTTTGTGAGAAAACAAATTTAGAGATTCATTAGAACTAGCACCCATCCTCCGCTCCACTAATCGACACCGTCACGCCCATCGATACTGTCACGCCTGCCGTAATTGTACTCGAGATCCCCAATCGTACACTTGGGTGCGCGGCATATACCTTCTCTCAGCTAAAGGAGATATCATTAATGTGCCGAACGTCAGGAGGTGCTCTTCGTTGCAATGGAGCTCGTCTTTGGGAGATTGAGGGCCTTTTACAACGCCGCCAGTGGCAAGTCCTTTGCCGACATTGGAGTACTGACGTCTTTCGATGAATTCGATGAGCAGTAATTGATGAGGACAAGAGACAAAGTGGAACAGCAGCTGCATGTGCGGATCTTCGAAAGGCTCAGAGCACCATTTGATACGATCGATACAGACTCTCGAGGCCTTGTCCTTGCCAATGCAATAAGAGCTATATACATCGTCATGGTTCCGAATTTCGCGGAACATCGCTCGCGCTGTTGGATAGACATGTGAGCACATGTCGCATGATACATTGTGCTGCTTGCTGAGCACTCAGCTTTGTAACGTCCAGTTCCAAGCGGGTGTCCACATCCTCAAACAGATGGACTGGTGGTGGGTGCAATTCCTCTCGAAATCGTATCAGGAGTTCAGGGTCAGTGACCTTGTGCCAGAGTACCCGATCACTGTTCCCGAGTCTAGCAATGTTCTCCGCCTGCTCGCAGTGGACAATAATCGGAATGAATTCGCACCCTCGCTCAATTGCTGTAGATTGAAAGTCTTTGCATACTTGTATGCCAATATCATCACCACTCTGCCAGTCGGTGAACAGGTAGGCCGTGGTGAACGTGGCGGGCTCGCTTTTCAGCGTCGAGAATATCGCGTCTCGCAACGCTTTGCGTAGTTTTTGATACCCTGGCTGCGTTCTGTGCAGGACAGCATCGGCGGGATTAATCATTAGATGATTGTGCACAAGCTTGACTTTTTCTCCCGTCCCAAAGGATGCAAAGTGCTCCTGTAAGATTGTAACGACCTCTCGTGCAATGGTCAGTTTTCCGGTTCCGGGGAATCCATTAAGGTGAATGATCGGCAGCGGTTTGGATCGTGGAAGAAGTGGTAGAGCCATGGTTCGCCTTTTGGAACAACGCTGACGGTGCCTGGGTATGACTTAGACGATTAAGACAAGAAATTACTTTGCTGAGCGTGCCTAGCGCCTTTGCCACGAAGAGGGGAGTTGATCGGGCCTCCAGCTCCGTGAGGCTGCCAGGAAGATCAGTAAATGCCGCGGATACACCCTGCTGATTAAAAAAAGTTGCGTCCGGGGATCGCCGACATTGCCCCAGCATGCTGTTTCTAGTGACACCCCCTACAACACGACATTCGAACCAGGTGTAGTTATCATTATTATAGCTAGGTGTAAAGCTTTATCAAAGCTGAATGTACATATGCATTTATCACGGCGCTAGCGGACATAGCAGCGGACCGGCTGTTTCCAGGAGACCACTGGCGAATCCCCGCTCTCGTATGTTTTTTGCGTGGAGATCGAAATATTTTTTTGCTTAAGTTGAAGCCGTCACGTGGGTAAATCTTGGCGTTATGTCGAGTTTGGGCAGTCCGTAGGTTGGGCATACATTAATAAACAGCCCCATCAAAGATACATTCACATGTTATGCAGGCAGTAGAGATATCTCGTTACCTTCACGAATAGCAAGTCACTTGCTACAATTGATGCGAAACGAGTGAGGATTTGACGTTTTGATTTACAAGGGACCGCTAGCATGCGTAGGTATCCTCGATTGCAAACCGGTCCTCACCCTGGACGACTAATCCAAAGGCTCTGAGATGCCATCTCTCCTCCCACATGCATGTACATGAAAGCTGAAAGACCATGCCGAACAAAAAAAGGAAATAGAATCGAGGGAAAAGGGTGGTCCATGAGCGCTAAGATATCCGGAACTCCCGTTTTTGTTGACTTTTGTATTGACTCGAGTCGAAAGATCCCTCTTCTATCCTGCGGTCGAGCCGAGCGGCGCCAATGAGATCTACACCCTATGCCATGATAGTCGTCATCGTAACCCATCAATCCCCGCTGTCACTACAACGAGTCGCTTACTTCCTTCGGAAAGAGCAGCCCTCGGTCAACCGCGCCTTGCCACCAGTGGGCTGGCACCTGTGAATGCATTAGCCCTTGCCCTTTGCAATGTACCGAATTGTTTCCAAAAAACTTACAGGACCTGCGAGCAGCCCTGGCAGACGACGACTGTGTTGGCGTGCGAGAAGACGGTGGTGATGGTGAAGCATCCGGGGCACTTGACGTCCATGAAGAAGGAGCGGGGGGTGGGCACGAGGGTCTTGAGCTTGTGCTTGCGGGCCTCACTAGATCGGCTGTTAGTCGCTGGCCCAAGTCGACAAGGCGGAGATGTATGCGTACGCGGCCGGGGAGGGGTTGAGAAGGTCAACTGCGAGAACCTGGCGGATTGTTAGCCCGAATTCCTCATCTTTTTTTGTTTCTGCGCAGCGCTGCGAGGCCAGAGGGTGTGAATTGCACAAATGTGGCAAACTCCCGGCAGTCTCGTGTGCCTGCCCACTAGCCCCTCGCAAACGCTCCGCTGTGCTTTCGCAGGGTCAAACTCACCATATTGACGGTTTATGGAGAGTCTTGAACTGGTTGTTGATCGCCGGTGGCTTGAAGTCGATGGATTGGGCGCGAGAGTCGAGGACGCGGACGGCTTGTAGAGGAGGAGAGGGTGTGCAAAACCAATGTGGGCGGGCCTTGCCTGGTTAGCCGACGCGCTAACACTGGCGTCCGTGCACCAAACACTTTTCACCGGCGGCGAGTAATATAAGCTTCAATTGGCAGTGTGTGTATGTGTACTTGTGAGCAGGACTGGATATTGAACAGTTTTGCCTTTCAGCGATGAGCAAGAGGGGTGTGTTCGCTGAGTCGTGGAAAGAGCGAGTCAAAGCGAAGCACTATAGCCAGCCCGACTGTTTCTTAAACATCTCAAGTATGATCGCACGTAAGAATCTCATGGTTTGTGAGGAGAGATACCTCCATGAACCCCTCACGAGTATCGCAAGTACGGTATTCCTTGTCCTTGATGACGGAGCTTCCCCGCGCCTAAGGGCGACAGATAGTTGCGGGAACAGCATGCAGGCGTCATTCACCCTCAACCACTTGGCAGGTCCCCGTCTGAAGCTGTGCAAATGGGATTTTTATGGCGATAAAACGAAAGCGGTGACACAAGGCTGAGACGGGGCCCGCATTGGCCCAGTCTGACCATTGGAAGCCGTGTCAGTGCCCTCAATCATCAAAAGCTACAGTTCATTACGCAGAAAAATATGTGGCGGTTCAAGTGGCATCGGACCGACAAGGCCTTTACTGGACGTCAGTGTACATGTACAGTTGTGAGTGGCCAGAAGTCGCGCCGTGTGCAGCTGTGACACGTGAGGTTGCCTCCCACCTTACCTACTGCCAGTAACCACGTAACCACCAAACGGATGCATACCGTCTCTTGGCACTGAGTACATCACATGCCCTCAGGAAAAACTTCGGAGGGAGCTGGCTGAGCGCTAAAGTGCGAGGTATTACCCCAACTGACCGGCCTGACCTGTTCTCTACCCCACTTAGCGTGTCTCGAGGTGCTTGTCGTGGGAGAACTCCGGGGAACCTGTGAGCACGACCTTGTATAAGTAATAACGAACCATCTATTCAAGATTTGATACATTGTTTCAAGACACATTTCGCAATCCAATCGACCAGGTCTGAGACTTTTCAAGAGGACTAATTCAGAAAACGCAAAAATGGCAGCACAAGAAAAGAACATGCAAGAGATAGAAAAGGCGAAGAAGCTCAACCATGTTCCATGGGGTGAAGAGTACGAGAAGATGATATCAGGGATGCTGTATGTATACCATGTGTTCTCTATTCAGTCAGCATGTTCATATTCTATGAAACATAAAACACACACACCACACATACATTACATTTCTCAGCGCCAGATTCCACATTTCCAGCATCTCATCAACGTATTTACAAACAAACTATTTTACTCCTTTCCTCACACGGCAACAACACTAACAACAACAACAACCAACTTACCATAACAAAACAGCTACGACTCCTGGACCCGCGATCTAACCGCCGCCCGCTTCAAAGCCCGCGCCTTCGCCAACAAATACAACACATGGTTCCCCCCAGCCTCCACCGACCCCGCAACCGGCTTCGACGTCCTCGCCGCCGAACGCGCAAAAATGCTCAAGGAAGTAATCGGCCATTTAGGCGACGACATTTGTACGTTTTTCCCATCTAAATAATATAACCCCCAGGCAAAAAACAAAACAAAACAAAACATGGGCTACCTTTCTCTCCATTGTGTTTTCTAACGACAAAAAAAAAAGTCATCGAACCACCCTTCAACATCGACTACGGCTGCAACATTAGCATAGGCGACCGCTTCTTCGCAAACTTCAACCTGACTATTCTCGACTGCTCGCTCGTT